TGTGATGCTATGAGTGAACACAGCCTTTATAGTGAATTGATAAAAGTTGAAAAAGACTAAAAACCTTTGTTTTTAAAGACTTTCTGAGTATTTTGGTGAATCTTGATGAGTTTTCATTGATGCATACACCTAGAAAACTGAAGGTGCTGATATGCTCTGACCCACCAGACTGGTGCTGATGACTCCTCTTGATTATCTTTTAAACCACTATAACCTCTGCTTACATCAGTTTGTTTTTTTTATACTAGAAAGCAGCAAGTTTTTATCTTCAAATGAACATTTTGAAAATTATTTTTATTGTGGCTCAGGGTTGTGCATTGTGCAATGTTTTGAATGGGTAATACAAGGGACTGAATACATAACCTTGTGGAATGCCAAAGTTCAAAACAAGAGTCCTCGTCAATGGGTGAGGAGGTTTTTATATGAGATAACTGTACTGATTTCAAAACTGGAGTTCACAAACAGCATTTTGAAGTCTGTGTTTTTGTTTTTTACATGCAAAAGAGCAGTTTGAATGGCAGAACTGAGGGTATTTTATTTTGTAGATTTGTTGGTTCGATTCATAAACTAAAAAAGATTTGGCCAAGAGCAGATTGTGGATTGGATATTCCCCATAGTTTAACTGTTAGAAAAATGGATTGTTGTTTGTCATAGTGGATTTTTTTCATATATTTCAAGAATCATTTCTGTTAGGAAAACATTTGATTCCTTTCTCAGAAACACTTTGAGCATCTAGATTCATGTGCTTTCCAAACGAATAATACAATTTACAATAAAATGTAAATAGTACAACCTGTAAAATTACAGATTTATGCACTTTCACAACTATTTATACCAATATGTACAAAAATGTACTGTACTTTGTATAATATTACAATGGCTTTCTGTGGATAACATTGGTTTTAATCTGTGATTAAATCATAAAACTATTTAAATACATTTAGTAACGTGACCTTTGTAGCTGTTTTTTTTTTTAAAATATCTACAGTATCTGTAATACAGATCAATTCAATTCAGTTTATTTATATAGCGCCAAGTCACAACGAAAGTCATCTCAGTGCACTGAACAGAAACATCCATATATATAAAAAACAAGTTAACTCTATTTAACCGAGGAACAGACTGCTTTGAATTTAACTCCATCGCAGACGCTCATCTTGAGCAAGATCTGAGATATTACGATGGTTTGGTTGTTCAAAGTTTAATATCAAACTCTAGCATAATTTTAATTCTCATTAGCTGACAAAGGGCATGCGATAATGATTTTGTCCATGTCAGTGTGCATGTCTGACTATTACCAAGGTGATTCATAAAAGCATGGGATGTTAATGATTTTAATGAAAATCTCAGAAAGTAATCACGGGACGTACTGTACATCTACAACTGGTAACTTTTTCACTAAATTCAAGAAGGCGCCTCAGTCAACTGAACCTAAAAAATACAGAAAGAACCGCAAAGCAGTCAATTGTACAAGTTTCGACCTAAAATATAGTGTAGTGGTAACTGAGATTGATCCTCGACATGTTCGGAGCACTAACAGATTGCTCAAGGCTACTTAAAATTAATAGTAAAATATTTCATGAGCCACGAACAAGGAGTTTAATGCAACTTTTAGAAAATAATCATCTGTTTATGATTACCTTTTGAGGTCAGTCCTATTCAAGAAGGCCGCCTCAGCTAATTTACCGTATTTTTCGGACTATAAGGCACATTAAGCGAAACAAAACAGTCACTTAAGTCAAACTTTATTCAACTCATTTACAAAATAAAATAGGTTAGAGGTCAGTAAGCACAACCAGAATTAATACATAAGGTACACCAGAATATAAGGTTCACTGTTGATTTTTGAAAAATTAAAGGATTTTAAGTGCAAGTCCAAAAAATACAGTATATTAGCTAACTCTGCTAATTGTATAGATTATGAATTAAAATCTACTGTAGTAGTAGCTGAGAGTCATATTACATGAGATTGCACATAACGTTACGATGTTTCAAGCTTTGACACAAACGGTTACAACTTCATCATTTGTCAACATAAAGTGATCTCAGTTCTAAACTGTTATGAAAGGTGGTGGGCAAACTCGGAGCTTTTGGGTAATGGGTGCCCAGAGCGCTCACCTTAGCAGGTTATAAACCTCTCGTGTCACACCTGTGACTGACACACACTCTCACTGTGCAACAAAAGCAGCCCACATGTGCTGATGTGAGCCCAAACCCACAGTCAGACAGATAGGGAAACACATTTCCGGTGTCTCACCACTAACACACGCAGACAAAACCAACACACCACGCCATTCATGGCCCTGGCCTTGTTTACTCACGACCATCAGAGGTCTGCAGCAGTCAACCTCATCGTTTTACACATTCCTGCACCCAGACTATTTTAAATGGTGTGCAAAAAGGTTTTATTTTTAATCATGCAATAATGACACCTGGGTTTGCAAGTTAACACGAGGCGGCTCTAACTGTGCAAAAATATGTTTTGATCAAGTTTTGTTTATTTAAATGAAAAAAATTAAATTAAATGGGAAAAAAAGAACTTGTATTCAGTGCAGTGCTGACCAGAAACTACTGGACTTTATGGCATAAAACGTCCTAAAGCCACTTTTATCTGTGCAATACTGCCATCTGTAGATGCCAAAGACAACTTTCTGTACTCTACACATGCCATCATTTTCTGTGTAATTGCTTCTTATGTAATACGTCTAAACAAAAGAAACCGTCATAATTTGCTTAGCGCAGAAAAACAAAAAAGTGCCCAGCCAAAATATAATTCTCTCTATTTACTTCATTTCTTTAAATACTTGTTTTCCCCCGACAGGCCAAACCAGAAGTGTGAAGGCCGAGTGAACTGTGTGAACTCTAATTATCTGTTAGCTGTGGGTCTGTTTGTGCTGTGTTTATTCCTGTGACAGACAGACACGTGACTTGACCAGGACGCTGACCCCATTAACCTGCTCAGCATGTTTTTCTCCAGGTAGTTCAGTATGGAACACTTCATATGCTAAATTTGATCCACTGCAAGTTGAAGTGGAAAACATGTGACATAATGCATTTACCGGTATTTAATATACTCATAGTTTGAAATAAAGCATTCTCTATGCATTAAGATAGCTAAATCTATTAAGCCTTTTGTGTTTTATGTTACTTATATTGTTTTAAATTGAGCCCCTGAGTGGAAAAAGCAGAAATAAAATCACATACGCTATTTGTTTTGTACACTCTAAAAACTGCTGGGTAATTTTGATAACTGGATTTCTGGGGAAAAGCTGTTGGGTCATACTTTAGGTTGGTTTAACCAAATATTTGGTGAAAAAGTGTTACAGTGTTTGGGCCACTTCACAGTTCACCATTTTCATGCCAGAAGTTTACTAAACCTGACTGGACCTCTGCTTTAAGTTGTAATAATTAAAGTTGAGATGGCAAAAGTAACTTGTAAGAATATGTTTAATTATTTTGGTTTTGTTAATAACTTTAGTTTGCACTAAAAAGTGAGTTTGCTTTTCTAAAATTGGTCAGCTAGCTCCAACCTGTTATTTTTCTAACATAGTTTGGGTTGGTTTTTTTAAACCCACATTTTAGTCTCTATAATTCAACAAATTTGTCATTTTAACTCAATTTTTGAGTAGAAAAGCTAGCCCAGTTTGCTGTGTCAGACAGTTAACACAACCCTGCTGAGTTAAAACTAACTAAAGTTAGCTCGGTCCAAATTTGGCCCATTTGGGTAACAAATTTTGTTGTTTTTAACCCAGCAGTTTTAAATGTGTAGATAGGCCAAGCAAATGCTTACATTGCATTTTGTAAGAACTCAACGTATTTAAAGTAAAACATGTACCCATTTATTCAGCAAAAAGTCACTTTTAAATGCAAAAAGTGTGCAATTTTCACTCAAAAGAGATTAGATTCTGCAAGCAGGAAATCTGCCAAAACAGGCCAATTTTACATAAAATAGACAACCCTTAAAAGACCATATCAGTCATTTAAAAAAGTTAAGTCAGGTTATCTGATTGGATTCTTCTTGT